GAATTGCGTAAAAATCTTGATACTCCATCAACTATCTTTCTCGTTAATGATGATGATATGAAATCATCTATTCATTTAATTCGAATTTGTGACAAACAATTAAAACAACAACAACAACAACAACAGCAAATTCAACGTCCTTGTACACCTGTAATTCGAACGCTCGAGCATCGTATGCATAATATTAAAGACTCTACTTGTATCATTAATGAAAAATTTGGAGACATTGACGGAAAGGCCACTTTATCTGAAGATAATCTTCTTGTTACTTGTTGTTTAGTATCTATATTAACACAACCAATCATTTATGGTATTAATCGATATTCTACTGGAAAACATCAAATTCGTTTTCGAATCGAAAAGATGGGAGATTTACGTTTATTTTTTGGAATTATTAGATCATTAGAAAATATTAGTAGATCAGGTCAAGCTCAGAATAATAATAATTCTCTTTATGGTTGGTGGGATCTTAATGAAGCTATTATAAATGGAAAAGTACAAACAACTAAGTATAGAAATATTGTATCAACAGGTGATGAACTTACATTAATATTAGATTGCGACAATAAACAAGTTCAATTACAACATCATCGAACAAAAAGACTAGCACAACTTTTAATCGATCTGAATAAATGTCCATTTCCATGGAAAATAGTCATCAGACTTCAATCAGCCGGTGATTGTGTACGTATTCTTCAGTAAAGTTTTCAATTTAATAATAATTAGACTTGTTATTCCGTTTTTTGATGAAAATAAAAAACGAGCACGTTCATTAAGTTTTAAAATACTTAAAAAGCAATGACTTGTGAAGGTGAATCGTTTTTTTCAAGTCAACATAAATACAATATTCAATAAAGTCTGACTAATTGTTAAAAAAGTGTTCATATACAGATTGATAAAGTACATTTTTTAAATATAATATGAATAATTAATGAAAAAAGCAGCAGTACTATATGATGAGAATAAGATTACAGCTCGTACAAAGAAGTGTCCGAACTTCGACAAAAAGACTTTTGCCTACTTTTCTTCATAGAATAGTTTTAAAAAAGTCAGTTTTATATAAATCGATGGCATTGATATTTTGAAAACAAACAAATACTTAGTTATCTGTTTTACAGAACTCATTTATCTGTTATCTATGATGTTTGTTGTTTTACTGTTTATTTTGTATTGTAGGAGACGACACTGTCATTTGCCATAAATTAAACATATTCCAAAGCGAATTTTATAAACTCTGCTGATCAAATGAAACAATGCTATCAATTAATAAGAAAAAACTACTTTGCAAGAAATGCAAAACCAGCTGAAGGACTCAGTGAAAAATTTTTCGACTATAATCGGATTATTGTGCAACAAAATCAAAACTATAATCGACTTAGGAGATTTTGATCATTAAAAGCGGCTGAAAATTTTCTAAATCGATTATAATTTTGATTTCGTTGCGGAACAATCTGATTATAATCGAAGTACTTTTAACTGGGAAGTTGTAATGTGTGATGCATGTCAACGATCATTATCAACTTCGGCCAGATATATCTAAAGCAACTAGAGAACACTCTTTTTTTTAGCCCATACAAATAGTTTGAGCGAGAATTCATCAACAAAATTCAATAAGCAGCAAGAGTCGCGAAAGCTCATCTTCAAAAATTGCTTGCATAAACTCAAAATATAGGTAGATAAACCGGCTACAGAACTTCAATAGAGATAAGATTTCAACGATGAACTAAACAATTTAATAAACTCTCTAAAGCATTTCAGTGTTCATCAAATATCGACGTAGAAAATGACAATCATGAAGAAACAGTTATTATTTTTATCAAAGTATATGATCAATAGAAACTAGCATCTTCAATTTCAGCTCTAGTATCAAAATAGAATACTCTACTTATTAAAAACTCTAGCATTTTGTCGATGAAAAAATGTCATCCCTTTAAGATAGAACTTATATTATCAAAAAAATGGTCTTATTACAATCGGCTGTCCAAAATTTAATTCTTCAGATGCCATTATCTATGATTTGAATTCTGATGTGTTCGGTATATATAATATTAACTTTCGGATGTGGATGTGGTTTCGGTTTTAAAATGTGTGCGTGTGCTTGTGAGTGTTGTTGTTAGTAATGATTCGAGTTAGAGTATGCATGCAGAGAAGAAATACACTCACTACCACAGCTACATTCACATACCCACACTCGTATATATACCGATGATCGCCAGATTAATTACTGTTCTAGTAAAAAAAATCAATGATATATATAGAATCATCATCAAGAACTCGGTGGACCAATATGCGTTTGCAATTGTTAGAGCAACTTTTATCTTCATCTAAAACTTTATCCGTAGACCTCTCTTCCTTCAAGGTTCGATTAAAAAATGAAGTACATCAACATGTTGTCTGAGTGATTGAGAACAAGTTCTGATTTTGCAAAATGATAACAGGACATAAACAGACAGATGCGTAAGCATAAAAAATGACCTTATGAGTTATTTCGTTTTTCGACTGAACTCTGAAGGGGCAAAAGTAAATTTTTAGAGGAAGATACGTCTCTCTGGGCTATTGCAAACATATAGAGATCAACTGAGTTTTTGATGATGATTCCAAGTATGACATTGTGTGGACCAGAACAGTAAGTAATCTGACGATAATTGAGAAATATCAGTCAAAGAATAGTCAGTTTTACCTTCCTGGACAAAAGAGTCTGGACTCTGAATACGTGCTCATATTTTTTACCGAACAAATAATATATGTTATTATGAATCGTCATGTACTCCATCAGCACTGTAATTTTCGTGATATGTTCAGTTTTATTTTCTGTGATATTAGGTTTCCAAGATCGACTAGTGACAGGAATGTTTTGGTGCTAAAATGCAACTCAAGTCATATTTTCTTCATCACACAATGAATGAGCTCATGGATCTTTGCCTTCATCTCAGAAGAAATTTGAAACTTCACATCAACATCTATACACGAATAAACTCAGTAACCCAAGAACTACAAAACTCGATCATTTTTAAATTCATTTCGACGAAACAATTAAGTGAACCGCTACAGATCTTTATGCATCCCCGTCCATTGAACGCTCTTTTCAGTCAGAGAGTCAAAACCAAAATAGAATATTTTTCTCCTACCGGGTAATATAAGGCGCGATCGATTTTCTTAAGGAGCCTTTCTTAAATGAATGTCAAAATTTGATCAGCATTAAATACCGATAAAATCGTTTTCTTGCAACTCCATGCTTTCTAAAACTGTAAAAACGGTGGGTTGCCAGCTATTTTCCTTTGTCATCTATTAAAAAAACAGCCACCTGCCTTCGTTATTGAAGTGAGTAACAGATCTGTGTATGCAGAACCTCTGTCAATGACACACCCTCTCTGCCTTTCTACGACTGATTTTTTGTTTTCTGTGTAGTATGTTATCTCGCGTTAGGATGGAGTATGCGTTGAGTTATTTCTTCATTGGGGATTAGATAAATTTTTTTTTCCTTCGTAAGTCATAGTTGCTTATCTGCGATCGTTTGTCGTAAAGGTAATATAGTTGTCGATTATATGTAACTGGAGTGTAGAGTATGAAATATGCGCAATTGTTTTGGTATGGAAGAGAGTAAAAAGAATCCATGAGCCAGTCTACGCTGGAGTAAGTAGTTATGGAGAAGATTAGAAAAACTATAGCGTTAACAGACAAGAATATCACCAACAGCCATCGTAGATTCAAAAGCTCACAGCCGGCTTCGCATTTAAGTTTCATTTTCTTATCTCATAAAGCATCAAAATTTACTCGTCAAGAACAAGTTTGACATTTCGACCAGATCAACTATTTACCTAGAAATGTTAGCTACGGATCCGATTTTGAATAAACCTTCCTTATTGCCAAGGAAAAATATGTTGTAATCACCAAAATTTACTGCAAATATCATGATACATGAACAGCTTTAGTGATTTCATAGGTTCTTTCTCAACATCAGGACATATCTTTGATATTTCCCTTGACACTACAAATACTACGCACTTTCAACCATGCATCTTAGAAAAACGTCTCGCCGCCGCTGTTAAAATGGCTGCCGACTATAGATTTCTATAAATGTCAATTTAAGTGCGACCAACAAGGACCGAAACATAAAAAAACCTCCTCCCTTCTGTCTCGGATCCATGTTTTTCTCATGAACGTTTCTTCACTATTTATTTTTTAGATCTTATCATATTTAAAACAGACTAACTGAAGAACACAGAATATTGTAGCAAAAGTGAGACTATAGGCACAGTTTAACAATGCAGACGTTGTTGGAGTGATATTCATAATCAGCAAATTTAAGATTTTAACGATCACTTTGCGGGACATATGCACGATATTCCAAGTATAGACAACTCAGGCTATTGAACATAATCAAGGTTCTGTCATGCATTGATTCCGATAGAAAATCATGAGTCTTTCCAGGATCAGAAGGTAGCATTATTCGCTCTCTTTCATTACCAAAATTCCACATAACGATAGATATCGATACATGTATTTACGGAAGAAGAAGGAACTCCGCAATCGAAGAAATCAATCGATCTATGTATGGTGTGTGCTGGAGTTGTCTTTGTTATTCTAAGCGTTTTTATTCTGGTTTTCTTATAAAGCAGCCAGTTGAGCAGTGAGACTTCATCTGCAGAACGAAGTATTTTTTTTGCCAAATATCTCTCAATTATGGCACATGCTATGCGTCTTGAATATTTCGATCATTTTTGGCCGTTGAAAGTGAGGCTTAAACTCAAAATCTTCCTTGTTCAATTCTCTACTGAGCATGTATTGAATGATTTTCTGTGAAAATTAAAACAGAAATCTGAAAACGAAAATCAATCAACACAGCTAAACGGATTAAATTTCTAAATCACTATTCTAACAGTTCATTGAGATCTAACGTAATACTGTTTTCAAGAGATCCATTTGTGAGACGCCTAAACGGGTCGAGGAATATCATCAGTGATAATACTTTACGAAGAAGAGACAGACAATAGATGAACACCGATGAAGAGTCCACATGACAGCAAACGCTGAAATTATCTGATATAATCACTAGGTAGAGAATTAATATTAAGTTAGTTTTAATAAGAATCGAAAAGAATTGAAATAGGTAACAGAGGTCCAACCAGGCTGCGTTTTTGTAGGCCTGACCGGCCTGTGACAGGCCTCTGCATTTCAAGCCTGCCTGTGCCTGCCAACTTATTTGTTTGGCCTGGCCTGCCTGGAAAGGCCTGTCTATTTTTCTTTTATGTCAATATCATTACGATGATAGAATAGAAACATTTAGTTAATGTTGAGAATGAAGGAAATCACTTTAATTAATTTAAAATGACTAGATTAATCTTTTATCTATCAAAGTTTTCATACAAAAAAAAGAACATAACAAAGACAGTAATATTAAGAAAAAAAGTCCTGTTTTTGTTCAAGAATGTTTTGAATAGATCTCACAAAAAGAATGCCATTTAAGGGACCCCCCCCCCTCAGAAATCGTTTTTCGTTATTCGTGGGCCGATTCGGCAGAAATTTTCAGGGAATATGTGTGTTGCGTTAACTTAATTTCTTGCAATTTTTGATTCGTAAGATTTTTGTTTTAAAGAGTTATGGATAAATTAGTCTTCAAAATGGTGGTCTGGGTAAGGTACCGATTTTTCGGACTGTCGAGTAGGTAGAGAGCTACTGTTTTTTTTAATTAAAAGAAGAGA